AGACAGAGAGACAGAAAGTGAGAAATCACCCCCCAGGGGGGGATGGCCACTCTGCAATCCCTTCTCCTCCATTCTCCTCTCAGGATCTTGGGCACACACGCACATGCGCCCGGCATGAGTTTTAAGTCACCGGGTCTGGGACTCGAACCGCGGTCAACTATGTGGGAGTCCAGCGACATAGCCATTATGCCAACTGCTGGTCCCCTGAGGAAAATTCTTATTCAATTCTTAAAAATGTACGGTAAATGGGAACCAGCAGTTAGCGTAATGGCTATCTCGCTGGACTCCCATGTAGTCGACCATGGTTTGCATCCTGGACCCAGAGGCTTAAAACTCACGCCGGGTGTGTGTGCGTGCGTGCCCAAGATCCTGAGAGGAGAATGGAGGAGAAGGGATTGTGGCGTGGCCACCCCACCTGGGGGATGATTTCTCACTTTCTGTCTCTATGTCTCTCTCTGTCTGCCGAGCACACACGCCCTATAGGAAAAAAACTTAAAAAAAAAAAAAAAGTACGGTAAATAATTTACTGGTAAGGATCCCAAGCCTGCCTAGAAAATAAGCAAAATTTCTCCTGAAATTTGCAAGTCAAAAAAAAAATTTCTTTTGGAGAGGTTTTTTGCTATAAGGTGCGGGCACTCACCAGAAAGAGAGAGACAGAGACACAGAAAGCGAGAAATCACCCCCGAGGGAGGATGGCCATGCCGCAATCCCTTCTCCTCCATTCTCCTCTTGGGATCTTGGGCATACACACACACGCACCTGGCATGAGTTTTAAGCCACCAGGTCTGGGACTTGAACCGCAATTGACTACATGGGAGTCCAGTGACTTAGCCATTACGCCAACTGCTGGTCCCTGCAAGTCAAGGATTTTAAAGTAAAAATTTGATGCTATTCTAAAAGCATGTTGGTTTATTTTTAGAATACCTGAGACTGGGTAACTTGTAAAGAAAAAAGACTTGTTTTGACTCTGGAGTTCTGGAGGCAGGCAAGTCCATGACCTGGTGACCACATCTGGAAGGTGCCACATGCTACTTCAACTCATGGCAGCAAAGCAGAAAGGCAAGCAGATACAGGTAAAGAGAGGAGCCTAGCTCACTCTATGACAACAATCCACTCTTATGGTAAATAACCCTCTCTCTCAAGAATTAACCCACCCACATGAGAACGGCATTACTCCATTTATGAGGGTGGTGCCCTTATAACCACCGCCAATTAGGCCCCACCTCCCATCTCTACTGTACTGGATCAAGTCACAGCATGAGTTGTGAGGGAGATGAGCCATCTGCAAATTAAAGCAAAAAGTAGGGGAGATTAATTTAAGATTGCGAGCACTGAAGAGAAGAAGAATGGAACAGGTTTAGTGTATAGGATCAAGAAGATCCAAGAAGGATCCAAGAATAGCTTTATTTCTCATTTGAACTCTACTGAACAATGAGAAGAGAATGTGTGAGAATTTTTCAAAGATCAAAAATACATAACAAGATTTAAAAAATGATAAGTGCTGATGGGGATGTGGTGAAAGGGGAACTCTTCTACTCTTCTGGTGAGAATATAAATTGGTCCAGCCACTATAGAGAACAATACGGAGGTTCTTCAAAGACCTTCAAATAGAACTACCACATGATCCAGCAATTTCACTCCTGGGTACCTACTCAAAGGGCAGGAGAACGCTCAGTTGAGAAAAGCGTTTGCACAACTGTATTTATTGCAGTATTATTCATGATTGCTAAGACATGGAAGTAACCCAAATATCCACAAACGGATGAATGGATTGAAAAAGTGTGGCACATATAGTCCATGGAATACTATTCAGCCATAAAAAAACAGCAAGATCTTGGCATTTTATAGAAAGTAGAAGAACATGGAAGACTTATTGCTGAGTGAAGCAAGTCAGGCTATGAAACAGAGATGTCTCCACTTAACATATACTGACTGTACACTTTGTGGTAGAGACTGAAAGACTGGAGGACTTAAAAGCACTGAAAATTGTTATGGACACTGGGGACAAAGTGGAAGGAGAGTGGGGGAGGGGAAGAGTGCAGGAAGGGAAATTTGGGAAAAAATGAAGAAGACATTTGTGGGATAAAGATACGGTTTGTTGCCCATTGGTGTCACATATAATATCCTCAACTCGTCTGCTGTGTGGCATATATCATGATGGGTAAAATCTCTTTACAAACTAAATGATGTATAACGATTGAAAATATAAATAATAATAATAAATACATAACAAAAAGAGATACATTTTTAAATTAAATCAAGTTTTTATTTTCTTACATAGTGTTATGTAAAGTCCTACCTTTCGGAACGACAAATATAATCACAGTGACTTATAGAAAAAGAAAATTTATAATCCTTGTAGGCTGACCTAAACTTTAAATCTACCTGAAAATTGAATATAAATAATAATAATAAATACATAACAAAAAGAGATACATTTTTAAATTAAATCAAGTTTTTATTTTCTTACATAGTGTTATGTAAAGTCCTACCTTTCGGAACGACAAATATAATCACAGTGACTTATAGAAAAAGAAAATTTATAATCCTTGTAGGCTGACCTAAACTTTAAATCTACCTGAAAATTGCCTTGCTTTTATTTAAAGGATATCTCCAAAGAAATAGTTTCTGAAACAATAGATACTTCTAAAAGGTAGCCCCATTGCTACACCAATTCCATTGTTTTTAACACATGCATTTTTCCCCCAGAGTTCAGTGAGTTTCGTATGTCCTATCATCTCATCTCCATCTAAAATGCTTTGTAGAACAGGCCATAATGTCTCATGGCCTAAGTTAACAAACTGAATGAAATACCCTGTTGGCACTCTAACAGGGAGGAGTCCCTGTTCTTCACTCTCACTTCCATGTCTACAACTTCACTTTAGGACTGTACATAAAACAACATCCTGATGTGGCCTATAAATCAGGGACTTTCTGTTTTCTCTAGGATGCATTTCAGTCTGGGCTTAAAATCCAGGGCACATTCTGGGTAGGCACAGGAGGGTTCCCTGTGTAACCTGGATGAATGGTTCTTACTGAATTTGGTGTGTGGCGCCTGCTGGGCAAACAATACAACTCTGATATTTGCTTGTTAAACAGTCTAACATAGATCTATAACTTCAGCTCTCATATCTAGAAAGAAAGAGTTGGGTTTGAGAATCTAGTATTCTTATGATAGTAGCAGTTGTATATTTATAAATCTTGGGAAACTAAGTTTAGGAAGTAGAAGATTTAAAAAATGAAAGAATTTTGTCTTATTATGATTTCCATTTAAGTAGTTCTAATCATTTCCAAGCATGCAGTATTATTCATGATTGCTAAGACATGGAAGTAACCCAAATATCCACAAACGGATGAATGGATTGAAAAAGTGTGGCACATATAGTCCATGGAATACTATTCAGCCATAAAAAAACAGCAAGATCTTGGCATTTTATAGAAAGTAGAAGAACATGGAAGACTTATTGCTGAGTGAAGCAAGTCAGGCTATGAAACAGAGATGTCTCCACTTAACATATACTGACTGTACACTTTGTGGTAGAGACTGAAAGACTGGAGGACTTAAAAGCACTGAAAATTGTTATGGACACTGGGGACAAAGTGGAAGGAGAGTGGGGGAGGGGAAGAGTGCAGGAAGGGAAATTTGGGAAAAAATGAAGAAGACATTTGTGGGATAAAGATACGGTTTGTTGCCCATTGGTGTCACATATAATATCCTCAACTCGTCTGCTGTGTGGCATATATCATGATGGGTAAAATCTCTTTACAAACTAAATGATGTATAACGATTGAAAATATAAATAATAATAATAAATACATAACAAAAAGAGATACATTTTTAAATTAAATCAAGTTTTTATTTTCTTACATAGTGTTATGTAAAGTCCTACCTTTCGGAACGACAAATATAATCACAGTGACTTATAGAAAAAGAAAATTTATAATCCTTGTAGGCTGACCTAAACTTTAAATCTACCTGAAAATTGCCTTGCTTTTATTTAAAGGATATCTCCAAAGAAATAGTTTCTGAAACAATAGATACTTCTAAAAGGTAGCCCCATTGCTACACCAATTCCATTGTTTTTAACACATGCATTTTTCCCCCAGAGTTCAGTGAGTTTCGTATGTCCTATCATCTCATCTCCATCTAAAATGCTTTGTAGAACAGGCCATAATGTCTCATGGCCTAAGTTAACAAACTGAATGAAATACCCTGTTGGCACTCTAACAGGGAGGAGTCCCTGTTCTTCACTCTCACTTCCATGTCTACAACTTCACTTTAGGACTGTACATAAAACAACATCCTGATGTGGCCTATAAATCAGGGACTTTCTGTTTTCTCTAGGATGCATTTCAGTCTGGGCTTAAAATCCAGGGCACATTCTGGGTAGGCACAGGAGGGTTCCCTGTGTAACCTGGATGAATGGTTCTTACTGAATTTGGTGTGTGGCGCCTGCTGGGCAAACAATACAACTCTGATATTTGCTTGTTAAACAGTCTAACATAGATCTATAACTTCAGCTCTCATATCTAGAAAGAAAGAGTTGGGTTTGAGAATCTAGTATTCTTATGATAGTAGCAGTTGTATATTTATAAATCTTGGGAAACTAAGTTTAGGAAGTAGAAGATTTAAAAAATGAAAGAATTTTGTCTTATTATGATTTCCATTTAAGTAGTTCTAATCATTTCCAAGCATTGTTTCTAAATAATGTTTCTAATAACTTTCTAATCTATCTGAATACTTTATAAGTACACATCTGTATTCATGTGCATTTGGAATATAACTGAGTAGAAATGTTTTTATAAAAATTAAGGAAATTCCAACAAAATTCTTGCTTAGATTAACACAAAGCTTAGATCACAAACTAGTTGCATATCTCTAAAATGAAATATAAGTTTCCAATTTATAAAGAAGTTATACATTAAATATTGTTTTCTAAAATCAAAGTCCTAGCCTACAGCACATAACATAGACTATTAGATAATAAGTACGATTCCTTTTTCTTTAAAGAAGAGAAAAGCTATAAGGAATGATGAATTATCCTGGTGGGTTTGACTTGGGTCCAAGCAAAGTGGCTATTATATCTCCCTGAAAAGAAAAAAAGTCACACAATTACAATGCAGTAAAGTGTAAATTAAAAGGTAAAGTAGTTTTTAAATCATCATTTAAAATTTATGTTAGTGATTCACATATAAAGGCCATGCGATAAGATTGTAAAAAGGAAACATGGTAAATTTAAACAGTAATGGTTACTTCCTAGTATAAACTTTTTCTTCCTATGACAGACTCTCTCTCTCTCTCTCTCTCTCTCTCTCTCTCTCTCTCTGTCTCTCTCTCTCTCTCTCTTGCTAGAGGGTACATGTGATCATCAGAGACAGAGAGGCAAAGAGAGGGAGAAGAGAAAGCAATCCCACAGATAATGATCACATTGCAATCCCTTGTCCTGTTTCTCCCTCCTTTCTGAATGTTGGGCACACACACCCAGCATGTTTCTCAGACCACCAGGTCTGGGATTTGAACAGAATGGTTGACCATGTGGGAGGTCCCACTGCCTTAACCACCAGGCCATGGAGGTGGCCTGACAGACTCTCTTACTGAAATTTGATAATTTTATAAGGATTTAGCAAGAGGACAATTTTTGGCAGTTCTTATTTTGCCTTAATGCTTCAGCCTGAGCTTTCTCATCTGTAAAATATCGGTTAAAATTAAATGATATCTTAAGCTCTTCCCTGATCTGTTAATGCTTGATTTAGAGAGAATAAAACTTCTCAGTTGCCATGTGGATTTTGTACATCTTGCAAAAGGTCCTTGTCTCTCTCTTCTCTCTTTTTTTTCTCTCTCTTTCTCATGAAACAAACTTTTAAAAAATCCAAGGCGAAGATGACATTCATTGATCTGGGATAGATAAGTATTTTTACAGAGGCGAAGTACCAGACAACGTGGGCACCAGGCATGCTGGAACACGTGTTCACTGGGGAAAATCATGGAAAACTTCTTGGAAGCAATTTTATGACCTGATCCCCCCCTTCTCCTCTTCATCGCCCATCACCCTCTGTGGCTTTGGTGCACAAGGACTTTGATGAGTCTATGTTTTTTTCTCTTAATTGATTTGAGCATATTTTAAATATTTTAAAATCTCTATCATATTTGTGAAATTTACCAGATTACTGTGTGTAATAACACAGCAATTAAACATAAGAAACAGAAAAAAATTGAAAAGTAATTTTTAAAATAATGGGCATCTAATGATACCGAGTTGCTCATTAAAGTTTGGCAACAAAATTTATGTGAAGATATAAGAGAATATAAGAAGTGAGAGAATAGGACAGTCTGAAAGAAACAAATGCCTACTCAGGAACACTGTATAATGTCTAAAAATATGATTATTTTATGTAAAAGTCCTCGAATATATACAGTATGCCTCTTCAGCTATATTTAACAATTGTTAAGTTACAGCTACATATGAGGAACAATTTTAAGTATGTTCGTGTAACATTTATGATTATTATGCTCGGCAACATTATTATTCCATTATTTATTTTTTATACAATAAAGACAGTGAGGCTGAAAGAAAATAAGCCTAGCAGATACCAGGCCTAATAAGTAGTAACTCCTGGAACTTAGGTTCTTTCCGTTACACCACACTTCAGATACTTAACAATGTGAATCCCTTGCACACTACAAAACTAAAACTGAATAGACTTATAAAACATAAAATAGTTGTATTCAAGTCTTACCCGGGTTGAATCTAAAGTAGTAGGCATATTTTTTAGTTCATACACAGCGACCTGTCCATCATTATCTCCCACCAGAATGCAATCTGTTTGTGTGGCAAAGAGAACGGTAGTGAACTTGATTCCAGGGTTAGCATAATTCACAATCAGAGGATCCAAACTGGAATGAAATATTTCATTTTTAAATTCAGTTGCTGCATTAATACAACTTTTTAAATACGCAGACTAAGAAAAGTTTGAGTTTATTGGTTCCCTTCTTTCTTTCTTTCTTTCTTGTTTTTCTTGTTTGTTTGTCTGTCTGTTTGCTTGTTTTTTGTTTGTTTGTTTGTTTGTTTGTTTGAGAGGTTTTTGCTATAGGGCATGTGAGCTCACCAGAAAGACAGAGACATTAAGACAGAAAGCTAGAAATCACCCCCCCGGGGGGATGGCCCTGCTGCAATCCCTTCTCATCCATTCTTCTTTCAGGATCTTGGGCACATATGCACACACGCCCGGTGTGAGTTTAAGCCACCGGGTTCGGGAATTGAACTTTGGTCAACCACATGGGAGTCCAGTGACACAACCATTACGCCAACTGCTTGTCCCTATTGGTTTCTTTTTTTAACATCAGACACAAAAACCAAAAACTTCTTTAAGTGTTTCAAGCTCATAATAACTGTTTCTTACTACTTATTCGATTCAAATCTTTATTTTTCCAATGAACCATTTCAAATAGTTAAATTAATTCACAATTAAGATCTGAATTTATGGACTACGTAGTAGCATGGTTGTTAAAGCAGTTGGAGCCTACATGTCCAACTATGCAGTTTGAGTCCTGGACCCAGAGCCTGAAAAACATGAGTGTGTGTGTATGTGCATGCCCAAAATCCTGAGAGAATGGAGGAAAAGGGATTGTGGCATAGCCATCTCTCCTGGTGGTGGAAGGGGTGCCTCTCTCTCTCACACACACACATGCCCTATAGCAAATTCAAAAATTAAAAAAAAAAGATGAGACCAGCAGATGGCATAATGGTTATGTTGCTGGACTCCCACGTGGCCAACCATGGCTCGTCCTGGACTGGGTGGCCTGAAATTCATACTAGGTGTGTTTGAATGTGTGCCCAAAATCCCAAGAAGAGAATGGAAGAGAAGGGATTGCTGTGTGACCATCTCTCCTGGGGGATGATTTCTCACTTTCTATATCTCTGTCTCTCTGGCAAACAAATGCACTCTATAGCAAAAATCTCTCTGAAACAAACAAACCAACAAACAAAACAAAAATTTTAAAAAGAAGTAAACTCATAAGTTTAAACTTTTATGACAGTTAATTTTGTATGTCATCTTGGCTAGGCTATGGCACCTAGTCGTCTGGTCAAACACCATTGCTCATGTTGCCGTGAAGGTATTCTTTCAGATGGCATTAAAGTTTAAATCAATAGATTTTTTAAAAAGCTGGTTACCCTCCATAATATAGGTAGGCTTCATCCAATTAATTAAAGTCCTTAGCAGAGACAACTGAGTTTCCTGGAAGTGGAGTAAAATTTTGCTTGTAGAATGCATTTGGACTCAAGACTGCAATTTGACTTCTGCTGGAAATTCGAGCCTGCCAGCCTGTCTGGCAGGCTTCAGACTTGCTAGGACTCACATCCTGTGAGCTAATTCCTTAAAATAAATCTCTCCCAAAATAGATTGATACAGATATAGATAGGGACATATTGTTCATACAGATATGTAGATAAAGATACAGATACAGATGTAGGTATAGATATATACAAATATATACATAGGCGTAGGTGGACACATCCTTTTGGTTCTGTTCTCTGGAGAATCCTCACACATCTGAAGTAATAACTACCTTTTAACAGAAGAATGTTCTGATCTAAAGAATCTCTGGAACATTAAATGGCATTTTGAACAGGAAATTTGCCTAGTCTTGGTCATTCAAAGCAATTCCACCTATGCCCTCAAAAAAGAGGGAACCAGCAGTTAGCGTAATGGCTATGTCACTGGACTCCCATGTAGTCGACCGCGGTTCGTGTCCCAGACCCGGTGGCTTAAAACTCACGCCGGGCGCGTGTGCGTGCGTGCCCAAGATCCCGAGAGGAGAATGGAGGAGAAGGGACTGCGGCGTGACCATCCCCCCTGGGGGTGATTTCTCGCTTTCTGTCTCTATGTCTCTCTCTGTCTGTCTGGCGAGCGCATGCGCCCTACAGTGAAAATCTCTCAAAAAAAAAAAAAAAAAGAAAAAAGAAAAGTAGCAGCAATTTTGTATACCTCTAAAGATGTATTGTCAGGGCACTACAGTTTGACTAGAAAAATTGAAATCAGAGGTGGGATTATTTAAATAGCTACTCTATCATTATTATTATTTTACCTATTTCTTTTCACATTTTTTTCTTTTTTTAAATCTTATTTAGTTCTTCCATGAGAGAGAGAGAGAGATAGCAGGGTATTGGCACAGAAATCTAACTCCAGCTTCAGCCAGCACCAGATCATGGGGACGAGCATGCCTGGCATACCTAGGGAGGTCTCCATACATGAATCCAGAACCTTCTCAATGTGGGTCAGTCTCAGAGAGCACTGTATTTTGCTACCATGCCACTGTCTGGTCCCCAGGTAGCTATTTTATACGTTAGTCATCTCATGTTCAAAAACTGTTTTGTGATGTAATCTTTGATTTGGGATTCATGGAATAAGCCATGACAAAATGTTAGGCTTACTCCGCTATTAACTTCTACGAAAAATATTTACCGTTAAGAGTGTACCTAGGGCCAGCTTTATAATGTAGTGGTTAAGTGCTGTGCATAGGAAGCCAGGTCCACATGGTTGACCATGGTTTAAATCCTGGTTCCAGCAGCTTATAAAACATGTCATATGCATGTGTGAGCATATCCCAAACCCTGACAGGATAAGCGATGAATGAAAAAGGATTGTGATGTGACCATGCCCTGTTGGGGTGGGGGGTACTTTCTCTTCTCTGGCTGTCTCTGGTGAATGCACACACCCTGTGGAAAGAGATAAAGAGTAGAACTATTGAAGGCCTAGAGTGATGGTGCTGGCGGTGGGTGCCACTGTGCAACACTGGGGCCATATGAATAGGCCCAGAGTTTGAATCCCAGATTGACCTGAACATGCCAGGTATATCCATGACTCTAGGTAGCTGGAAAGCAAGGAGGAGGATCATGGTATGGTAGAATCCTGTTAGGGGTCTCTCTCTCCCTCTTTCTCATGAAATAAATAAATTTTTTTGAGAGAGTTTTGCTATAGCGTGCATGTGCTTACTGGAGAGACAGAGAAAGAGAAACAGAAAGCAAGAAGTCACCCCCCAGGGGGATGGCCATGCGGCAGTCCTTTCTCCTCCATTCTCCTCTCAGGATTTTGGGGCCGCACGCACATGCACCCAGCGTGAGTTTTAAGCTGCTGGGTCTGAGACTTGAACTGTGGTCGACTATGTGGAAATGTGGTGATGTAACTGTTATGCCATCAGCTGGCCCAAAAACAAATTCATATTTTTCAAAGAGTACATCTGTTGACTTTTACTTCATTTTTTAAAACAAGAATGTGTTTTTCTCTTTCTTTTGCTTATAGCTAGCATAAAGATTTATAGTGTTTCCCAATTAAAGAAATAGAACTATTGACCATTTTATTCCAGCACTGTATACAGCTTCCCATTAAGAAGCATAGATAGATCTAGATGATCTCCTAGTAACTTTGTTGTAACATCTGAAATGAAAAATTTAGTGAAGTGTATACATATCCCTTTGAATGTCTTAAGGTAAAATAAGTCATTAAGTACATATTGCAAAAATAATTATCTTGCCTCCTTTATCTTAGTGAACCTTTAGATAAAAATGTAATCATGCCCTTGTGTTATTCCTCATTAAACAAATAAATGAATAGGAATTGAGGATAGTTATAATATCCTATATCAGCCTGTAAAAGTTGAGGAGATAAGTAAACTATTTTCATCCAGATATTTTTCAAAACCACATATAGCATAAATAATTAAGATTAAGACAGCACCCTATTATTTATTTTTATTCATAAAGGATCTTTTTAATTTAATGTTTATTATTATCATTATTATTTTTTTTTAATTTGCTACAGGGCACATATGCTCATCAGAGAGAGAGATTGAGAAAGCAAGCCACTAGATCTGGTACTCAAACCCGGTCGGCCATGTGCAAAATCCAGTGCCTCAACCGTCATACCACCTACAGGCTCCCGTAAAGAGCTCTCACAGAGTAAACCATTACACTTGTCCCCCTTACCCATGATTTCATCTTCTGAGGTTTCTGTTATTCATGGTCCACCATAGTCTAAAAATACTAAATGGCAAATTTCAAAAATAAATGATTTGTAAGTTTTCAACTGCATGCTGCTCTGAGCAATGTGATAAAATCTCATGTCATCCTGCTCTGTCCCACCCGGGATGTGAATCGTCTCTTTGTCCAGCAAGTCCACGTTGCATATGCTATCTGCCCATTAGTCACTAGGCTGCCAGATGGACTGTCATGGTATCACAGTGCTTGTGTTCTCGTAACCTTTGTTTGACTTAATAATGGCCCCAAAGCACAAGAATAGTGATGTTGGTTTATTGTTTTAACTGTTCTATTTTATTATCAGTCATCACTCCTAATCTGTTACTGTACCTAATTTTTAAATTACACTCTGAGTGTATTTATACATATAAAATATATATACATATCTCTCTGTGTGTGTATATATATTTATATATCAGGCTTGGTACTACCCAAAGCTTCAGACATCCTCTGGACTTCTTGGAATGAATCTCCCACAGATAAATGGGACTACTGTATTTGTTTTAAAGTAACTACAGCACTTGTTAACCAATGTCAAAACTATGAGGCATCATTTAGTTTAACTACTTCTACTAGAAATGTCCCCTTCATATCATCACTTACGTGCTGATGTGAAGATCCCAAATCTCTACTCTGCTCTCGTTTGCAGCTGCAAATATGTAGGATGATTTTGGAGACCAGGCAACATCATAAACAACATAAGTAGTTGGGTAAAAACTCAAAAATGGCTTAAGATTATTCTGTTGCCACATGATAACACCCCAATCTGCAGAACAGCTTAAGAATACATCATGACAAAATGGGTTCCATGTTACTTTATACACTGGACCCTAGAAATAGGAAAATAAATCAAAATACATAAGTAAATACTACTTAGCATTTTATATTTTAAACTTGACCAGCAAATTTAAAACACTAAGATTTTGAGAAAAATTTTACAGCATACATGTGTGTGGTTTTTGTTTTGTTTTGTTTTTTAGATTTTTGCCAATAGGCTGCATGTGCTCTCCAGAAAGACAGAAAGAGAGAGAGAGAGAGAGAAGGAGGAGAGGAGGAGAAGTGAAAAATCACACAAGGAGGATGGCCATGCTGCATCTCCTCTATTTTCCTCTCAGGATTTTGGGCATGCAGGCTCATGTGCCAGCATGTTTTTTAAGCTGCCAGGTCTGGGACTTGAATTGCAGAGTTGGTCATGTGGGATCCGGTGCCTTAACCACCACCCACCTGCTGGTCCCAATTGTATTGTGTGGGTATGTTAGCTGATAGTAAGATCATAAATTGAATCTTTCTTAAATTAGTCCATATAGTAACATAAAAATATATTGCTACACTACATGCTATATTTTAGTACATATTATACATACTTTAAAAAGATAATAAAGAGTACTATGAAAGTAAAGGAAATGAAGGAGAAAATGAGGAAAACATGGACAGAACAATCATAAAAAGATACAAAGAATAGGTAAAGGATGATATTGCTTCAGGATCATCATGTTACATAAGTAGTCTTTTAGAAACAAATAAAATTTATGACTTTCATAACTTGCAAAAAGAAATCAAGGATATCCAGAAGTCAAATAAAATGCCCTACACATTATTACTGAATTCCACACAAGAAAGCACTTAATTCAAGCTGGTATTTTAAACTCTGAAGTTGTAAATTTATTGAATATTAAATATAATGCATACAATGCTACTATTTTTTTCAGCAATACTACAAAATCAATTAAAATGTCCAGGTGTGTGTCCTTGTACCAAAAGGTGAGGCGCTATGAGTGGACTCCTCACTGTCTGCTCTTAGTAGTCATAGCAGAGACTGAAAACAAAACCAGCAGGTGTGCTGCAGACTCCCAGGCAGCCCTGGGAACAATGATAAGTAATAATAAAACAGAACAGTTTAATGATATGCCAACATCACTATTCCTGTGCTTTGGGATAATGAATATCACCATAACTGTACTACTGCCAGTTCTACTCATCTAGAGCCCCAGTCCCCAACCTTCGTGGCACAAGGGTCTGGCCTCAGGAAGACAATCCCTCCATAGATGGGGCCATACAAGGGGTGGTGTTGGTCTGGGGATGACTCAAGTGCACCACATCCACTGTGTACCCCATTTCCACTACTATCACGTTGCAATATACAATGAAACTATAGCACAATAGGGTTCACACTCCCATGAGAATCCATTACCTCCACTGATCCCAACCGAGGTAGAGCCCCTGCAGCAATGCAAGTGATGGGAATGGCTGCAAACACAGACATAATCTCAACTCCCCATCTTCCCCACCACCCACCCCTGGGTCCAGCCTGGGAGTTGGGGACTCCTGATCTAGAGAACTACCTCAGAATCCGCAGACAGGAGAGGAGAGAGGTGAGACTAACAGTGTAAGAAAAGACTGCAAGAGCTTCTGGAGCACAGAATCTCTACCTGGAAAAGGACAGAGATAATCAATCACCTAAACTTGGGGAGGCTACCAAGCCATCCCCCACCACAGGGTAGGAGGAGATGAGAGGACCTCCTCCCTGGAACTCAGAATTTCATACTCCCACATTCGACTACAAAACTCCTCATCTGCAGAACAACAAAATGAGTACGAAGCTAACACTATGGTTAGGAAGTACACACAAATTCCTCTTTAGACAAGACTTTGGAACTTCTATCCCAACCACATCCCGAACCCAGAGAGCTCAGCACCATCTTGAGAATTGCCCAGCAGGTGGAGCTTGGGCTGTGATCAGGACCTGGCAATCTGGTGTCTCTGCAGCCTGGCAGAAGCAGATGATGCCACACAGAGGTGAAGAAGCACCATGACTAGGGAAAAATGGGCTGAATAAGCACAGCGACTGAAGCTTACTGGCCCCTTCAGATCAGAGATCTGTGCATCCCCCCTATGCAGCCAGAGCATGGAGTGAGAGAGCACGCTCCCTCATGTCCCTCTGATTGATTGACCCTCCCCTGACACATAAGTCATGCTGAGTGGCTACCTTTCCCCCCCTGTGGCCACCATAGTGCAGCCTCTCTGACCTCCCTAAACTGTAAATGTGGGCAAAGGAAAGGAGAGGGGCTCTTGATAGAGAGGAGGGCACCAGAGAGCCCTGCTCTAGGTCAGAGTGGGAAGATTGGACACTGCCCCAGACCTCCTGATCCTGCAGTGCATAATCCAACCGCCTAACTCTAGCACAAGTCTGCTCAGATTGGTTCAGCCTCCTTGAATCCCTGGACTTTAGAAATCACAGTCTCTGGTGAAGATCAAACAGACAGCCTTGCTTCTGGCCCCCCTTGAACAATATTCCCATTCAAGACTTTAGGATCACCCCAACCAACAGGTGTTCCACACAAGCCACAAAGAACCTGCTTGTTGGGTCTCACAGATAGATTTCCCTTCAGCTCTCCTAGACGAACATGCCAGGTTGCACTCAGCTTCGGTGGGCTCTCATCCTGGGAAATTATAGCCCTACTTGAATCTGAAAGGCACAGCAGGTATCTCGTCCCCCTAGACCACCTTCATCAGGGCAATATTTGATCTGGGGGGGGTCAACCTGCCTCCAGAAAGGACAGATAGGCCCAACAGACTCCATGGGCCAAGTAAATTGGGCATGCCTCTTCTCTGATTGCTTTCACAGGGTCATGGTCGAGCCTTGAGGGTCTCCCTGCCTCTAAACATTTCATGCAGTCTGCATAGGCCTTGCTGCTTGGATGTCACAAATAGGCTTGCTTCTGGCCCCTTCTGGACAAACTTGCCAGGTTGCACTTGGATTTGTCTTGCTGCCTCCTCCTGGGAAATTATAGGCATTTACGCAAGCCCTGCTTGAATTAGAAAGGCACAACAGGCCTCTAGCCGCTCCAGGACCTTGCGAGGGCCACATCTGGGTCTGAACAATGAATTTAGCTCCCAGAAATTACAAGCAGGTACATATGTTCTGTTTGGATCATAAAAGCACAGCTGGCAACTTACCCCTCCTGGACTACCTTTGCCAGAGACATATCTTGGTCTTGGGGGCCAACTAGCCCTGGAAAGGACAGGCAGGGATAACAGACTCTTTGCACCACACAGACTAGGACCTGCCTCCTGTACCTCCCAGATCACCTTCACAGAGCCACATATGGGTCTTGAAGGTCACGTTGGCCCAGGCATTTCACACAGGCTGCATAGGACACACTCCTTGGGCCCCACAGTGTTGCCTCCAGTCCCTCCTGGACGAACTAAACAGGGCCCCCATTCAGGTTTAGCAAGCTGCCCAGATCCCAGAAATGACAGGCAGGAACTCGAGCCTAACCTGGATCTGAAAGACATATCTGGTTTCTGGATCCCTTCGGATTGTCTTTTCCAAGGTCACATCTGAGCCCTGGAGTTCATTTACCCAGTGGGCATTACAGAATCTACTTTACAAATCAGGAGAAGCAAGTACTCCACCAGATGACTAAACATCACTGCAGAAATACCAAAAAAAAAAAAAAGGAAAAGAAAAAGAGAGAAAGAAAAAAACAAAGAAAAAAACCAAACATACAAGGAAATATTTCTCTATATTTCGCTTCCAAAGTAACACAATAACTCCTCACCAACAATGGATTGCATACAGGCAATCACTGAAATGTTGGAAAAGGACATTTTTGCTGCTGGTAAAAACCTAAAAAAATAAAGAATGGGCAATTTGATTCAAACAGACAGCTCTCAAAGAAAGACGTATATGAAAAATGTTCAAAAAAGTATATGAAAAATATTCAACATCTTTATCATAAGGAAAATGTAAATCAGCAGGTGGTTTAGCAGCTAAGGCTCTGGACTCCCACATGACTGACCTCAGTTTGACTCCTGGCCTGGCTTAAAACTCAAGCCAGGCACATGTGTGTGCATGCCTAAAATTTCAGGATAATGGAGGAGAAGGGATTGCAACATGGCCATCCCCCAGGAGGTGATTTCTCACTTTCTCTCTATCTATATCTCTCAGTGAGTGCACATACCCTTTAGCAAAACAAAACAAAACTAAACTAAAACACCTAGGTTAGCTTATCACCTAACCCCAGTCAGAATGGCTATGATCAAAAAAAAAACAACGAACAAGTGCTGGCAAGGCTGTGGTTGAAAGTGAACTCTCCTGCCCTGTTGATAGGAATATAAGTTAGTACAGCCCATGGGGGAAATACTGTGGAGGTTCCTCAAAAATTTACAAATAGAACTACCTTGTGACTCAGTAATTCCACTCGTGGATATTTACCCAAAGGACAGGAAATCATTCAGTTGGAAAGATACTTGGACCTCCATGTTTACTGCAGCATGATTTACAACAGCTAAGACATGAAATCAACCTAAGTGTCCAACAACTGATGCCTGGATTTTTAAAACGTAGCACATACACACAATGGAATACTACTCACCGTAAAGAACAATGAGATCTTGTCATCAATACATAGTGATCAAATCTAGAAGATGTAATTCTAAGTGAAATAAACCAGACTATGAAAGACAAACACTGTAGATCCCTGCTCAACATATGCCAAATGTCTGCACTCTATGGTGAATAAAACAGACATCACCAATCTTGTATATACTGTATCTCAAATGCGGTGTTCTTCGTTGAAATGTTAAATATGGTATTATCCTCGAGTTGGCTGTTGCACACTGCAAGCATGCTTTGAAAATCCATGTTATATGCCCCACAAAGATATACCATTAAGTGTAAATAAGAAATTACAAAATAAAATTTTAAATTGCCATATCTACCATAATTAAACTCACCTTATGTCCTCTGTAGGTCTCTAGGTATTGTTCATTATATGAACAAGAACATTTGTGAATATGACCTTCTTCAGTGCCAGCCAAATAGATATTTGTGTCCTACAACACAAGAAATCAAAATACATTGGCTTGTGATATATTAAGTGTACTATAAGAAGATTAGACAATTTAGGATCTATTAATTTCAAAACCCAAACTAGAAATACATTTTTCTTTTATTTTTTTAAGAATTATTTTATTTAACTTTATTTATTTATTTTAATTTGACCAGAGGGAGACAGAGTGAGCAAGGGAGAGAGAGAGAGAGAGAGGGAAAGTAAGAAAGCAAGCCACCAGGTACAAGACTTAAGCCGCAGTCAACCATGTGGGAATCCAGCGCCCTTAACCGCCATGCCACCTACTGCCCCTTTTTTTCTTTTCTTAATGAGATGGAGGGGCCAAATAAGTGAAAGAGAGAAAGTGGCTGTTTGTGTGTTTTGTTTTGTTTTGTTTTAGCTTTTTGCTATAGGGCACATGTGCTCACCAGAGGAAGGGAGAGAGTGAAAAATCACCTGGTGGGGAGGGTGGAGGGTGGGGCAGGGATGGCCACACTGCTATCCCGTTTCCTCTTTTCTCCTCTTGGGATTTTGAGCATGCACAACACACATGCCCAGCGTGATTTTAAAGCCTCTAGGTCCAGGACACCAATCACACAATAGGCCGTGTGGGATCCAGCACCTTAACTTCCATGCCACCTGCTGGCCTGATAAGTTTATTTTTATTTTTTTTCTTTTTTGACAGAGTCTTGCCCTGTCTCAATTCTTTCTGCTCCAGCCTCCCAGCTTGATATGACCACCGACATTGACTGCAGCACCCAGTTTGGACCAGTAACCAAACCTGGGCCTCCCACATTGCCCCAGTCCTAGGTACATATGTTCTGTTTGGATCATAAAAGCACAGCTGGCAACTTACCCCTCCTGGACTACCTTTGCCAGAGACATATCTTGGTCTTGGGGGCCAACTAGCCCTGGAAAGGACAGGCAGGGATAACAGACTCTTTGCACCACACAGACTAGGACCTGCCTCCTGTACCTCCCAGATCACCTTCACAGAGCCACATATGGGTCTTGAAGGTCACGTTGGCCCAGGCATTTCACACAGGCTGCATAGGACACACTCCTTGGGCCCCACAGTGTTGCCTCCAGTCCCTCCTGGACGAACTAAACAGGGCCCCCATTCAGGTTTAGCAAGCTGCCCAGATCCCAGAAATGACAGGCAGGAACTCGAGCCTAACCTGGATCTGAAAGACATATCTGGTTTCTGGATCCCTTCGGATTGTCTTTTCCAAGGTCACATCTGAGCCCTGGAGTTCATTTACCCAGTGGGCATTACAGAATCTACTTTACAAATCAGGAGAAGCAAGTACTCCACCAGATGACTAAACATCACTGCAGAAATACCAAAAAAAAAAAAAAGGAAAAGAAAAAGAGAGAAAGAAAAAAACAAAGAAAAAAACCAAACATACAAGGAAATATTTCTCTATATTTCGCTTCCAAAGTAACACAATAACTCCTCACCAACAATGGATTGCATACAGGCAATCACTGAAATGTTGGAAAAGGACATTTTTGCTGCTGGTAAAAACCTAAAAAAATAAAGAATGGGCAATTTGATTCAAACAGACAGCTCTCAAAGAAAGACGTATATGAAAAATGTTCAAAAAAGTATATGAAAAATATTCAACATCTTTATCATAAGGAAAATGTAAATCAGCAGGTGGTTTAGCAGCTAAGGCTCTGGACTCCCACATGACTGACCTCAGTTTGACTCCTGGCCTGGCTTAAAACTCAAGCCAGGCACATGTGTGTGCATGCCTAAAATTTCAGGATAATGGAGGAGAAGGGATTGCAACATGGCCATCCCCCAGGAGGTGATTTCTCACTTTCTCTCTATCTATATCTCTCAGTGAGTGCACATACCCTTTAGCAAAACAAAACAAAACTAAACTAAAACACCTAGGTTAGCTTATCACCTAACCCCAGTCAGAATGGCTATGATCAAAAAAAAAACAACGAACAAGTGCTGGCAAGGCTGTGGTTGAAAGTGAACTCTCCTGCCCTGTTGATAGGAATATAAGTTAGTACAGCCCATGGGGGAAATACTGTGGAGGTTCCTCAAAAATTTACAAATAGAACTACCTTGTGACTCAGTAATTCCACTCGTGGATATTTACCCAAAGGACAGGAAATCATTCAGTTGGAAAGATACTTGGACCTCCATGTTTACTGCAGCATGATTTACAACAGCTAAGACATGAAATCAACCTAAGTGTCCAACAACTGATGCCTGGATTTTTAAAACGTAGCACATACACACAATGGAATACTACTCACCGTAAAGAACAATGAGATCTTGTCATCAATACATAGTGATCAAATCTAGAAGATGTAATTCTAAGTGAAATAAACCAGACTATGAAAGACAAACACTGTAGATCCCTGCTCAACATATGCCAAATGTCTGCACTCTATGGTGAATAAAACAGACATCACCAATCTTGTATATACTGTATCTCAAATGCGGTGTTCTTCGTTGAAATGTTAAATATGGTATTATCCTCGAGTTGGCTGTTGCACACTGCAAGCATGCTTTGAAAATCCATGTTATATGCCCCACAAAGATATACCATTAAGTGTAAATAAGAAATTACAAAATAAAATTTTAAATTGCCATATCTACCATAATTAAACTCACCTTATGTCCTCTGTAGGTCTCTAGGTATTGTTCATTATATGAACAAGAACATTTGTGAATATGACCTTCTTCAGTGCCAGCCAAATAGATATTTGTGTCCTACAACACAAGAAATCAAAATACATTCGCTTGTGATAGATTAAGTGTACTATAAGAAGATTAGACAATTTAGGATCTATTAATTTCAAAACCCAAACTAGAAATACATTTTTCTTTTATTTTTTTAAGAATTATTTTATTTAACTTTATTTATTTATTTTAATTTGACCAGAGGGAGACAGAGTGAGCAAGGGAGAGAGAGAGAGAGAGAGGGAAAGTAAGAAAGCAAGCCACCAGGTACAAGACTTAAGCCGCAGTCAACCATGTGGGAATCCAGCGCCCTTAACCGCCATGCCACCTACTGCCCCTTTTTTTCTTTTCTTAATGAGATGGAGGGGCCAAATAAGTGAAAGAGAGAAAGTGGCTGTTTGTGTGTTTTGTTTTGTTTTGTTTTAGCTTTTTGCTATAGGGCACATGTGCTCACCAGAGGAAGGGAGAGAGTGAAAAATCACCTGGTGGGGAGGGTGGAGGGTGGGGCAGGGATGGCCACACTGCTATCCCGTTTCCTCTTTTCTCCTCTTGGGATTTTGAGCATGCACAACACACATGCCCAGCGTGATTTTAAAGCCTCTAGGTCCAGGACACCAATCACACAATAGGCCGTGTGGGATCCAGCACCTTAACTTCCATGCCACCTGCTGGCCTGATAAGTTTATTTTTATTTTTTTTCTTTTTTGACAGAGTCTTGCCCTGTCTCAATTCTTTCTGCTCCAGCCTCCCAGCTTGATATGACCACCGACATTGACTGCAGCACCCAGTTTGGACCAGTAACCAAACCTGGGCCTCCCACATTGCCCCAGTCATCAAGCAGCTGCATCTTCCCACATGTACCACTATGACTGGGCAAGAAACACTATCTGAAATATATAGCTGCCTTTGGTCTTTTCCTTTATCATGATTTTACGATAGTGAACCTACCTGAAAAACTACTGTGAGAAAGAAAATATACATTTGTTTCTCTTTGCTTGAATAAAGAGTAACATTTAATATCTATTTAGAAATTATGTGGAAAAACTCTAGCTTAAAATGGGAAGAAACTGTCTAACATTTAGAGATGTTTGACAATGGGACTAGCAGTCCCTGGAAATAGTTAAGTGCTCTTTCATTGGAAGTAGTCAAAGAGAAGATAGATGACCTAACAAGTATACATATGCCAAGGAAATAATGAGCGTAATGAGAGGTTGAACTAGATAGCCACTTAGACATATGTGTGTACTCAATAAGAATTTAAAATGTATCACTGTTTTGTATTGTGGGTCATAACTGAAAAGTCTGGATGTGGGGCCGGCAGGTGGCATGGTGGTTAAGGGGACTGAACTCCTACATGGCTGACCACAGTTCGAGTTCTGGACCTGGTAGCTTGTTTTCTCATTTTCTGTCTTTCTCGTTCTCTCTCACTCTGTCCTTCTCTGGTCAAAATTAAATAAATAAATAAATAAATAAGCTAAAAGAAAGAAAAGTCTGGATGTGAATGCTCTATGTCTGGCTATGCAGCCTGTGGGTCACCAAACGGCATCATCAGTACCAGCATCACCTGGGAGAATTCTGTAGCTACGAAATCTCAGGTCCTACCCCAGATCTACTGAATCAGAATCTGCATTTTAACAAGATTCTCAGCTAACTTATATGTACGTTAAAACCTGACACACACTTATCTAGTGTATAAACGTACGTAAAGATGCAACTACTAGATCATCAGATGTGCGTAGCTTTATATGACATGATAAAGTACTATTTTACCCAAACCGATATTACCAACTTACATTCACCTACAGTAGATAAAAGTTCTCTTTGAACCACACTCTCCTCAATAGTTGTTTAATCAGAAATTTTAATTGCTGCCATTCTGTTAGGCGTAAAATTATACATTATGATTTTAAGTCCATTTATGTGACTAGTAATAAGGTTCAGCACTATTTCATGTTTATTGGCTATTATGTTTCCATTTCCACTTATGTCTCTTGAGATTTTACTAGTATTCTATTTTTATATTAGTTTCTATAAATTTTTATATATTTTAGATATTCTTCCTTTGTCTATTACGTATGTTGCAAATATCTTCTCCCTATATATGGTTTAGCTTTCTACTTTCTCTCTACTATTTTTGATAAACCAAAATTCTCATTTATTTTATAGTTAGCATTTTTGTGCTTAATTTAGTAAATCTTTTTCCTACTGTGAGATCAAAGACATGTTATTTTTCCTTTTTTTTCCCTAAGAGTTTTCTTTTGTGTATAATGGAGTAGGGATCTAATGATATTTTTATATGAATGATGATTATCTATATACATTTATAAGTGGTCATCTCTCTTGTGATCTTCAAGGTTCCTGTTGAGAGTTGGGTTCTCTTGTAAATAAACCCTGAAACTCTGAGATTTGATACAAGCAATTTATTGAGGAGTGCTCTCAGGAACAACATCTACGCGGAAACATGAATGGGCAGAGATTTAAGTTGAACCATGATGACATTATAACAGAAGGCTCAGTCTAACCCATAAGATGCTCTGGAGTGCAGAAGGCCTATCAGAGTTATGCAAGGTGGGCAGAAGTTTTACACATGCCCCTTGGATAAACCAGTCAAGCTAAGTGATAGACTCAAACCAAACTATACCAATTATCAAACTGAATATAGGGGGGCTCACGAACCCCCCCCAGTGCAGCCGCGCGCCGGGAACGGCCTGGCCGGCGCCCCCTCCCCCCTCCGGGGGCGCGCCACGCGGCCGGGGGGCCCCCCCGCCCCCCCCTGCCCCTCAGATACCCAAGGACAACTCACACTGCAGACCCCCACAACACCATTCCTGGTAACTACAAGATGACTGCTGTGCCGCATCAGCTGATAATTATCCCTGTGTACCAGAACTGCTTTCCTGAAACTGCATTCCTTGGAGACTCACCTACACTTGTGGATCTGCCGGAGACCCTTCCTTATCCAACCCTGAGTGGAGTTTATGCTCCCTATTACCAAAAACTTTATGAGCTGATGGTTGGAACTTGTGGCCTCTCTCCCTTTACTTGTATGTATCACTTTTTCAGTAACTCTTCTGGAAGACAACTGTATATAGCAGGGATATTGTAATGGGAGAGTGAGACAGGGCAGAGGGACAAACATAGGAAAAAAAATTTAAAAAAAGAGGAAGAGGGAAAAAAGAAACATATATATATGTGCATAAGCAAGAAAGTAGAAGTGGAATATTATTGATGATAACATGCTTGATTGGGTCACTGTGCAGTTTATTCTAGATGGGAGATTACATTTAGTACGCTGTGATGATGCTCAGGGAATGAATGTTAGGGAAAAAAAAAAAACGAAAACAAAAAACAAACAAACAAAAAAAAACGGTAAAACTATTCGTCCCATTTTAAAAAAAAATGGATATTTGATGGCTGCAGTGAGCGGTATGGGCCCAGTTGGGTTCTACTTTATAGTATGCTCTTTTTACCCAATGGGGTTTAGGCCTAAAGTCAGACTTGAGTTCATGTAGAGGCATGTGTCAGCTGTGATAACTATTGGAGAGACTTAGACTAATTAAGATCACTGACAGATCATTTGGGGAGGGGTGAGGCACGGAGGGCAATCGGGGATGACAGGGACAATGTGGGAGGAGGATGGGTCATAACAGAGGGAGGGGGATGGGGAATCTAGGATGGTAAAACAAAAGGCAAGGTATGCAGGACACAAGAATTGGGAAATTATTTGCTGAGAACATATATGTTGACGTGCTTGATTGAGCCAATGCACAGTATATATTGGATGGAAAATTCATTTGTGTGTTGCGATGGGAAAAAAAAATTATAATAAAAAATAAACTATAAAAAAAAAAAAGAGAAGAGGATAGAGAAAGATAGCAAGTGAACAATAGAGGGGATGTTAGTGAGAAACAGATATGGTTTATTATCTGTTGAAGATGACGTGTATAGTATTCTCAACTGGACTGGTCTGGGAAGTATTTCATGATGGGTGAAGTCTTTTAACAAGCAAAATGAGAAATAGTGATTGACTGTTTTAAAAAATTATAATAATAATAATTATTGGGAAATGCATGGAAAAGACTTTGAATGATAAAGCGGGGAGATCGATGCCTCTGTATTGACTGACATGCATGGCATTCCCTTTTGAAAAAGCAATGGAAGTCAATGTAAAGTTATATGTAATCCAATGTAATATAAAGAAGATTATGATAATAATAAAAAAAAAACTGAATATAAATGGTCTTAGCATCCTAATGAAGAGGCAGAAATTTTAAGATTGTATTTTTTTAAAAAAAGAAACAAGATTCAATCATATGCTGCCTATAAGAAAGCAAAGATACAAATAGGATAAAAGAAAAAAGATGAAAAATGATAAACCATACTAATAGTAGCTCAAATAAAGCTGGAGTAGCTACCTTAAAATCAGACCAAGTATATTTCAGAGTAAACAGCACTACCAGTTATAAATAAGGCCATTATTGTGATGATAAGAGGCCAAATTAATCAAGAGGCCATAATCCCAGACATGTATGTATGTACCTACTAACAAAGCTTCAAGATACGCAAGGCAAAACTGATAGAACTGCAAGGAAAAATAGACAAATCTATGATTATGGTTGGAGACTCCAGTTCCTTTCTCTCAGTAATTGATGAAAGAAGTAGGCAGAAAACCAGCAAGTATATAATAAACTCGAATATTATCAATTAACTTAACCTGATTAGTATTTATAGAATACTCAAATTAATAGCAAAATACACATTTGTGTCAAATGCACAGGGAATATTTAACAACAGTAGGCACATTCTTTCTGGGCTTTACAACAAATCTTAGTAAGTTCAAAAGAATTCACCTTGAAAAGTATGTTGTCTGGCCCAGCTGCAATGGTACAGCAGTAGAAGACTGATTTGCAATGCTAGAAACTATATGGAAAATCAGGGCTAGTTTCCCTGATTGGCCTGTACATGCTGGGTGCATGGACACATGTCCATGACACTGGCTAGCTGGGAAGGCTGGGGGTGGATTGTAGCATGAGACCCACTTAAGGGTGTCTGTCTTCCTCTTTCTCTCCTTGTCTCTCTCTCTCTCTCTCCGTGTCTCACTTTCATGGAAGCAAGGAAGGAAGGAAGGAAGAGTAAAAGAGAGAGAGTGGGAGAGTGAGAGGGAGGGAGGAAGGGAGGAAGGAAGAAAGGAAGGAAGCTAGTTATTTTTATGAAAAAAATGTGTTTTCTGATCATGGTGGGACTGAATTAGAAGTCAACAACAGAACAGACCAGCAGTGGTAGTGCAATGATAATACAATGCTCCATGACGCTGAACCCATATGGAATGGTCCCTGGTTCACATTTCAGGGTTTCTTTTTCTTTACGGATACTGAGCATGCATGTGCATGCTCATGATAAGGGCTGGCTGAGGCTGGGGGTAAATTACACGTGACCTTGCTGGGGGTGCCTGTCTCTCCCTCTTTCTCTCTCCCTCCTCCTCCCATGGAGGAAATAAATTAATTAATGTAAAAAAGGAAATCAATAACAGAAAAGTAGTTGGAAAATCCCCATGTATTTAGAAACTCGATGACATATTTCTACATAGCCCATCCATCAAAGATGAATGAAAATAAAAATGTATGGGGCCAGCTCCATGGTCTGGTAGTTAAGGATTCTGAATCCTACATGGCTGAACATGATGCTCAAATCCTCATCCCAGTGGTTTGAAAAACATGCCAGGCACATGTGTGTGCAGGCCCCAAATCAATGATAAAGAAAAGATTAAAAACAGCGAAATCAAGAGCAGGTTCTTTGAAATCATCTTCTAGCCAGAGTAACCAGGAAAAAGAGAAGGAAGACACAAAATACTAGTGTTAGAAATAAGGTAATAGGAGCTGGCAGGTGGCATGATGGTTAAGGGTGCTAGACTGAACCTAGTTCGAGTCCCAGACCTAGTGGTTTGCTTTTTCACCTTCTCTCTCTCTCTGTTTTTCTGTCCCTCTCCGGTCAAAACTAAAATAAATAAATAAAGTTAAATAAAATAGTTCTTTTAAAAAAATGAGGTAACAGTATATATTTTACAGTTATGGGATGCTAAGGGAATATTATTATGCCAATAATTTAATAACTTTAATGACATAGACAAATTCCTTAATAGACACAAATTAACAAAGCTCACTCAAGAGAAAATAGATAACCATAATAGCTTACATCGATTAAAATGTGAATTTGTAGGGAACCAGCAGTTAGCATAATGGCTATGTCGCTGGACTCCCACGTAGTCGACGGCAGTTCACGTCCCGGACCCGGTGATTTAAAACTCACGCCGGGCGCTTGTGCGTGCGCGCCCAAGATCCTGAGAGGAGAATGGAGGAGAAGGGATTGCGGCGTGACCATCCCCCCTCAGGGATGATTTCTCACTTTCTGTCTCTATGTCTGTCTCTGTCTGTCTGGCGAGCGCACGCGCCCTATAGCGGAAAACAAAACAAAACAAAACAAAACCAAAAAAAAAAACCTCTCCAAAAAAAAAAAATGTGAATTTGTAGTTAAAACTTAAAAACCTTCCCACAAAGAAAACTTTAATAATTAATTCTATCAAACATGTAATGAAGAAATAATATGAATGCTATGCAAGTTTTTTCAAAAAAATAGTTTTATGAGGACAGCTCATACCAAAACCAGACAAAGACACAATCTCTGTTTAGAAAAGCAGATAAAGGAAATATTAGGCCGTCTGGAAAGTCATGATGTATTTTTCCATGTTTTTCTATGCAAAAATGCACCAAGACTTTCCTGACGACGCAATAGTATAGCCAACTGGAGCGTGCCATTTACTCTAGCACGGCAGCTATGCTTATTTTTTCACTTACAAGACATCGTATTACTAAAATGCTTACACTTTGTCTTGTTTTGTAACTTACTAAACTTCGATTTTTGAAAACTGCTATATGCCATAGTAAATAATGGATTAAAATAATTTACCTTGGGATGAAAAGCAAAGCACATTCCAGGAGCTTGTCGAGATATCAAAGCTTCACCTTTCTTCTCCTTTTCCCCTCCTTTTTTGTTACTGCCAGAAGTAGTTCTCCTCAATCGCATCAAATCTTCATTTAAAGGAAAAGGCATATATCTTATTTGCCACATATAAAGTACTGAACATATCATGTATGCCTCTTTGGCAAATAATATGTATCTATAAAATTGTATTCAAGACAGAACACATGCATGTGCACATGTGAGACAAGCGTCCTTGACAGGGTCCTCCAGAGTGTGATCCGCTTTCTCTGGCCCTCCAGCTCATCATGATCTTAGGCACATGCGTGCCTGGCATGCTTTTAGGTCCACTTGAGATCTGAACCCGCTGTCAGCCGTGTAGCTTCCAGGCCTGCAGTTCAGTATGCTACCACCTGTGCTACAGAGGCGAGGCCTCTTTTGCAAATGATATTGTGTGTTCTTCCATCTTTTGCATGTTATGAAGTTGACATTAGCAAACACAAGAACTAGATGCTTAAAAAACAATGACCAAGCCCAGCTTTTTTTTTTTTCTTTCTTTCTTACGGGCCAAACCAGTATTTATCACTTTCAGCATATGATTTATTAGTATTTTTTAATTCAGCACATAACAAGAGAAAAATAACTTTTTTTCCTTTTTTACCGTGACAGTCCAGTCCTTTCCGTATAACCCATTTGGAGATCCTTCCATCTGCTGATATAGAAACTAATATTTCTCTTTTATCATCCCCTGTTGTTCCTCGATCTTGTTCTATCCATTGCAGTTGCCACACAGGTCCCAAATGCTTTAGAGGCGATTCACTAAAACAGGCAAAAATGCTAACTATAGACTCATTATAACAATATTTTAGAGGCCTTTGTGCATAAGTGATAAGGACAACTCCCAAGAGGATTATGATCTACTTATTTAATAATGTCTTTATTGTCCAAAACTGGACTTCCAAACATTTTGAAGAACAGGAAAAACAATCACTTTGCCACCTAATATACACTGAAATTTTTCTTATTTCTTACAAAAGGAAATTTTTAGTGGCTTTTAACGTATCAGCTACCATAAGAGGAATACAAAAATAAACATTTTCTTTCTTTTCAGAATCTACTTTTCTTACTCTATTTATTCACTTTTTCTTAGTTTAGTCATATAAACTCTGACTTTAACTTTATTTTAGACACTCTGAACATAAGTACCTTAATCTTTATAAAGTTTTTGTTTTCATGACTTAAATTAATATTATAATACTGTAACATTTAAATAAAGATAAACAATTATTTTTTCTATTATTTCATGATTACCCACTGACTTGATTCTATGACTAAAATTTAATGTTTTCTTGAAAAGTTAAAATCACCTCTTAGATTACTGACTTTTTTATTATCAAATTAATGGAGTACTCTGTTCCCAGTACTGACTCTTTTTTTTTTTTTTACACATACAAACTGTCCTATATAATAGTTCTGAATCTTTTAAAATCAAAGATGTCGGGTTATTTGGTAAAAGTATGGACTCTTCTCCCAGAAACAAGCACTAAGCTCCACCTTTATAAACTATGCGAATAACTTCAAAGTTAAATGTAAGAATCCTTGCTTAGGAACCAGCAGATGATGCAATGGTTATGTTGCTAGACTCCCACATGGCCAACCACGGTTTGAGTCCTGGACCTGGTGGCTTAAAACTCATGCAGGCACATGTGCATGCATGCCCCAAATCTCGAGAAGAATATGGAGGGAGAGGGACTGCAGCATGGCCATCTCCCTTGGGGGTGATTTTTTTGCTTTCTGTCTCTCTGTCTCTGTGTTTCTGGCAAGAGCATATGCCCTATAGCAAAAATCTCTCAAAAAAAAAAAAAAAAATCCTTGCTTTGACTTGCTTAGACTATTTACAGTTCCAGCCAAGTTTACTCAAACATTGGTACAGGTCTACCACCCCATTTTTAGCCCATTGATATCTAGTCTTATTATCGAAACCGAACCTGCTTGAGTTCAGCAGATGGCGTAGCAGTTAGGTCACCAGATTCCCAAGTGGCTAACCATAGAGTCCTTGACCTGGAGGCTTCAGACTCATGCCGGGTGCATGTGTGTGTGTACCCAAGATCCCAGCAGAAGAGATTGCAGCATGGCCATGCCCTCTGAGGGATGATTTCTCACTTTCCCTCTCACTGTCTCTGTCTCTCTCTGGCAAGCACATGTGTCCCAAGGCAAAAACCTCTAAAAAAAAAAAACCCAAACTGCTTAAGTATCCTTCACCTTCAACTTTTTGGGTTTCTCAATGTTAGGTTAGTATTAGTATTTTTCTATGCAAAAATGCTTCATAACTTTCCCAATGACCCAATTTAACTCATTTATTCATTATTAACCAAACATTTACTTTATTCCTATTACCTTCCCATTATCATCAGAAAGTAGATATAAACAAATAATTTATATGCAGTATTATAAGTGCTATGATGTAAGTATGTATACAATGCATAAAGAAAGGAATGGGAGGGTTTCCTGGAGGAAGTAACACCAAAGCAAGAGTTTAAGAGTAAGTGCAAGCTCTCAAGCCAACAGAAGTTTGTTAGTGAGGTGGACAGAAAAAAATATGAAGGAGACATAGACCAGGACATTCCAACTGGAGAGACAGTATGGGGGATTATTAAATGTTTAGAAAATAATGCTTTTTTATTGCCAGAAGGCACACACACTAACCAGAGAGACAGAGAAAACACTCTCCAACAGGGTGTGGTCACACCACCATCCTTTCTCCATTTCTCCATCCTGACAGAATTTGGGGTACACACACACAAGCACCCAGCATGTTTTTCAAGCCACTGGGGCCAGGATCCAAACCATGGCAGGACATGTGGGATTTGGCTCCCTTAACCACTAATGTAAGAATCCTTGCTTAGGAACCAGCAGATGATGCAATGGTTATGTTGCTAGACTCCCACATGGCCAACCACGGTTTGAGTCCTGGACCTGGTGGCTTAAAACTCATGCAGGCACATGTGCATGCATGCCCCAAATCTCGAGAAGAATATGGAGGGAGAGGGACTGCAGCATGGCCATCTCCCTTGGGGGTGATTTTTTTGCTTTCTGTCTCTCTGTCTCTGTGTTTCTGGCAAGAGCATATGCCCTATAGCAAAAATCTCTCAAAAAAAAAAAAAAAAATCCTTGCTTTGACTTGCTTAGACTATTTACAGTTCCAGCCAAGTTTACTCAAACATTGGTACAGGTCTACCACCCCATTTTTAGCCCATTGATATCTAGTCTTATTATCGAAACCGAACCTGCTTGAGTTCAGCAGATGGCGTAGCAGTTAGGTCACCAGATTCCCAAGTGGCTAACCATAGAGTCCTTGACCTGGAGGCTTCAGACTCATGCCGGGTGCATGTGTGTGTGTACCCAAGATCCCAGCAGAAGAGATTGCAGCATGGCCATGCCCTCTGAGGGATGATTTCTCACTTTCCCTCTCACTGTCTCTGTCTCTCTCTGGCAAGCACATGTGTCCCAAGGCAAAAACCTCTAAAAAAAAAAAACCCAAACTGCTTAAGTATCCTTCACCTTCAACTTTTTGGGTTTCTCAATGTTAGGTTAGTATTAGTATTTTTCTATGCAAAAATGCTTCATAACTTTCCCAATGACCCAATTTAACTCATTTATTCATTATTAACCAAACATTTACTTTATTCCTATTACCTTCCCATTATCATCAGAAAGTAGATATAAACAAATAATTTATATGCAGTATTATAAGTGCTATGATGTAAGTATGTATACAATGCATAAAGAAAGGAATGGGAGGGTTTCCTGGAGGAAGTAACACCAAAGCAAGAGTTTAAGAGTAAGTGCAAGCTCTCAAGCCAACAGAAGTTTGTTAGTGAGGTGGACAGAAAAAAATATGAAGGAGACATAGACCAGGACATTCCAACTGGAGAGACAGTATGGGGGATTATTAAATGTTTAGAAAATAATGCTTTTTTATTGCCAGAAGGCACACACACTAACCAGAGAGACAGAGAAAACACTCTCCAACAGGGTGTGGTCACACCACCATCCTTTCTCCATTTCTCCATCCTGACAGAATTTGGGGTACACACACACAAGCACCCAGCATGTTTTTCAAGCCACTGGGGCCAGGATCCAAACCATGGCAGGACATGTGGGATTTGGCTCCCTTAACCACTAGGCTATGAGGCTATCACTGGTATATCTCTTAATAATTGCCAATATTCTCTTAAAATGAAATAACAATAGAATATATCTTCCTGAAAAAGTATGCATTATTTACTTAATTCTTGGGTTCTCACCTACTATCCAGAACTGGAATATTATTGTTGCTCTGAACATTGTAAATTGCAATTGTACCATTGTGAAAGCCAACTGCTAAAAGATTAGGTGATCCAATGGAAAAATCCACAGCAGTAACTCCATATGGACTCTGATAAATACGTTCTGGCCACTGAATAAAAAGAATAATTATATTACATTTCAAACGTGTCTTTGTAGACTACAATAAGACAGGGCATGATAATGGCTAAGAGTTGTCTAGGGGCAGTAGGGATGTGAGAAGACTTAGTCTACATTTAGTTACTACTGTATTCCTAATTTCCAATACAAATGAGAACAAAACCTCAACTAGTTATTCCCTTTATTTTGATAAAAACATGAATCCTCAGCACTCAAAGGCTTTAGGAAACACAGTGTTGGTTTCTACAATAATTACCATATTTTGGCAATATTTCATCAAGATTAACATGATCATCACATGTCTAGTTAAGTAAACAAAATGGGCTGCAAACAAATCATCTAGCATATATTCCTATCTCCCAGTTTTTGTTTTAGGTGCTTGGGCTATCTTATCATTTCTTTTCTTTATATATATATATCAGATATTTTATTTAACTTTCTGCAATGTACATAGACTGCACTGACAAGACAGGCCCTATTGAGGGATGGTTTCTCTCTCTCTTTCTTCTCTCTCCTCTCATGCATGCACATGCACCCTCTAGCATTAAAAATATATATATCAGTTGAGGGACCAGCAGTTAGCGTAATGGCTATGTCACTGAACTCCCATGTAGTTGACCGCCGTTCGAGTCTCGAACCCAGTGGCTTAAACTCACGCTGGGCGTGTGTGCATGCGTGCCCAAGATCCCGAGAGGAGAATGGAGGAGAAGGGATTGCGGCATGGCCATCCCCCCTGGGGGGTGATTTCTCGCTTTCTGTCTCTCTGTTCTCTCTCTGTCTGTCTGGCGAGCGCACACCCCCTATAGCAAAAACCTCTTAAAAAAATAAAATAAAAAGATAAAGCTTTCAAGTAAGAAAATGACTAGGGATGCTGGGGACCAGCAGGTAGTGTGGTGGTTAAGGAACTGGACACTCCCACATGGCCGACCATGGTTCAAGTCCCGTATCTGGCAGCTTGCTTTCCCTCTGCTCTCTCTCTCTCTCTGGTCAAATTAAAACAAATGTATAAATAAAATTGAATAAATAATTCTAAAAAAATGACTAGGGCTGTTTAGCAAGAAAATATTAGTATGATTCTTATTTATTCTCTGGAAAAACCCACTAAAAAAAACAGTAAGAAGGTCATATTAACTGACTTTATATCTACTAAGGATAGCAAGGATCAAGTGATAAGCAGCTATTCATATATGAAGAAATAATCAAATATTAAAAGAAATCTAAATTTCAAAGGATCTTCATTTGCAGATTCATTTTTTTATAATCAGCTATGATAATCAATAATGGCTCAACTCTGCATTATCAGGTCTAACATCATAATAGATGCTAAATAAATACATATTGAGTACATTTTTAAATTAACTCTCTTTACTTTATGTCAAAAAGAACAAATTTTAATTGTTATGGATTTAAATTTAAAAAATGAAGAAAGTCTTGATTGATAAAATTTTCTTGACTTTGTTTCATCATTATATACAATGATATATTTTATGAAAATTTTATCAACATAAATAAAAATGGTCATTATTCCTGTTTGAGTTACCATAGGATTCTTTATTGACCAACAGCAAGCCAATCCTCTTTTTTGCTCTTTAAATCCAAAGTGCCCATAGCCAACAGCCAAAAGTTCCTGAAAACCAGAAAAACACATATCAAACAAGAAAATATGGCATAAAAATAATGAACTACGTTAAAAATAGTTGTAAGACAAAAGAGGAAAAAAGACCAGCATACTATTTTTACTGTACACTTCTATTTTTTAAGTAAATAAAATTAATCAGTGTAATGCTTCTCATTTTTAGAATAAATACCCCAAAAAAAATCAGTTGCTGGGTTGGCTCTGAGACTTTGTAGGTAAGGAATCCAGATTCCATCTGACCAACTAGAAGGTTTAAATCTTGACCCCAGCGAATCAAGAAATACACTGGCACATGTGTATGCATGCATCAAATCTCAACGTGATGGAGAAATAGAAAAGAGATCGTACTATTAATAGCATGACCATGCCCCATTGGGAGGTACTTTCTCCCTCTCTCTCCATCTCTCTCTGACGAGCTCTAGTGTCCTCTGGCCAAAAAAAGTGAAAGAACCAATTGGTAACAATTGTTGTACTTATTGAGGTAATCTTTCAAGATTGTATTATTATATTTCAATATCTTATGGATTTTAAAGAATGACCTAATCATTTCAAATGTAAAGTAAAAGAAACTTAACGGCAAGGACTATGGACTGAACTGTGTTCCTTCCAAATTCTTATGTTATGCCCTAATCCATGATTTGGTCAAATCTGGAGAGCCTGACACAGCAAGACCCTGCCAAAAATGCCTATTTCTGTCTCCCTCCCATTCTTTATCTCCCCCTTTCTCTTATAAAGGAAAAAAAAATTTAATCTCAACTGCAATGTATTAATTTTTTAAATGCTATTATTTCAGTTTTTTAAAGTATTTCTGTATCTTTATTATAGACTGTTATTATTGATTTATTAAATCTCATTCATCTACCAGATGTTCTCAAATACAGTTTTATGAAGAGAACCTATGATATGGACCAGCACATGGTGTAGCAGTTATGTTACTGGACTCCCACATGGCCGACAACAGTCCAAGTCCTGGACCCGGTGGCTTGAAACTCATGCTGGGTGTGTGTGCACGCATGCCCAAGATTCCGGGAGAAGAATGGAGAAGGCGGCTTGGACATCTCCCCTGGGGAGTGATTTCTCACTTTCTCTCTCACTATCTCTGTCTGTCTCTATCTCTCTGGTGAGTGCACATTGCCTGAAGGCAAAAACCTCTAAAAAAAAAAAAAGACAATCCATTATAAAAGTATTTTATTTTAAAATAATTCACATAATTAGAATAATATGTATTTAGATATTGACAAAGAGGATTATAAACTTTTGATTTTTTAAATAACCATCTCATATTTGTACATGACATCTGATATGTGACAATAAAATAAGACTAATTCTTACATATACATAAAAATACAGTAAATATTGGGACCAGCAGTTGGCATAATGGCTATGTCACTGGACTCCCATGTAGTTGACCACGGTTCAAGTCCTGGACCCGACAGTTTAAACTCATGCCGGGCGTGTGTGCGTGTGCCCAAGATCCTGAGAGGAGAATGGAGGAGAAGGGATTGCAGCGTAGCCATCCCCCCGGGGGGTGATTTCTCGCTTTCTATCTCTCTGTCTCTCTCTGTCTTTCTGGAGAACGTACGCACCCTATAGCAAAAACCTCTCCAAAAAAAAAAAATACATTAAATATTTATTCCAAACATCTTGCCATTACTTGAAAGATTTTTAGAATTGCTAACTAGGAAATGCCTTTGGAATCAGTTTAAAAACCTCAAGGAAAAAAAAAATCCATCTTATTATTCTATAATAATTTATTTCTTATGAGCAAGATATCATTCCCCAGAATAAGATTCATCTTATTTTTTTCAAGATAACCTTTGGCAGAGCAAGAGTTCTGAAGTCAGATGTCTGAGTTTGAATTCTGGCTGTTTCACTTAGTAGTTTTTGCAATTTTGGCCAAGTTATTCATCTTTTTTTGTGTTTCAACTTTATTATCAAAATAATGAAGAAAAAAGTAGTACCTAAATAATAGGATTGTTACATTAATACAGGGAAAATACAACAGTGCCTTGAATATACTAATTGTCTAAGTATTTGTTAATATTAGTAACAATAGAATTTTAAGGACATTCAAAATTTGTTTGCACATTTGCAGGGTCACTGAATTAAGAATATGCTTCCAAATATGACTACTTTGAAGAGAATATAAATTTAGGTATGTGAGTTTGTGTGTATGTTGAAATAACATCAACCTATATATTATCTTCTAGTGTACGTCTATGGTCAGTTTAAACCCTTTGCCCCATACCTGAGAAAAACAATTTTTTCATTATTAGAACTGAGCAGTTACCCTTAAGTGCTAAATTGTTAAAGTGCTTGGTAACTTACAGGATTTGTTTTATTCCAGGCAAGGCTGCTCACATTAAGGCCTTTAGTTAAGTCACAAGAGAAAGACCAAAGTCGTTCCAAATTGGCTGGTATTGTTGATTGCTGTACATGTATTTCTATTTCTTCCTCCTCCTCCTTCTTAGCTTCTTCCTCTCCCTCTTCATGTTTTTCACCTTCTATACATATTTCAGGCTCTCCAGGCTCAGGTTCTAAAATTAAATAAAATAAAAAGACCACTGTCCTACACCTATAGGCGCCTGTCAAAGGCTCCAAATAGCATCTCTATTTATTCTGATACTGTCTTAGTTCTAGGAAAGAGAACAAATTTGCCTTTATTCTGCCTTTTTATTCTATCCAGATCATTAAGCAACTGGGTAGGGCTTCCTTACTTAGTCCATTTACCAAAATGCTGATCTCTGGGCCAGCCCCTATAGCCTAGTAGTTAAAAGGAGCTAAGTAGATCTCATATGGCTGGCTGGGTTTGAATTCTGGTACCAGCAACTTAAAAAATATACAAGTGCATAGGAATATCAGGCCAGCAGGTGGCATGGTGGTTAGCGTGCTGGACTCCCACATGGTTAACCATGGTTCGAGTTCCAGACCTGGTGGCTTGCTTTCTCACTTTCCCT